AGGGCAAGAGGCGGGGGGGGAGGCCTGGATGCGACGTGCGTAACGGTTTGTGAGGTGAACACAGCACGCCTTGAAGTTTGCATGCACATGCGCACAACTCTCACACACACGCGTGCACGTGCGCGTGCGCGCGCGCGCGCGCACACACACACACACACACACACACACACACACACACGTGCGCACGAGCACGCATGCGCACGCACACACACTCACACACACGCATTGACATGCACGTACACACATGTACACTCACCAATATACACACAAACATGCACAAACCACCACCACCCCAGGTTCCACACCCACGAGCGCCTGGAGAAGCGCACGCAGCACGCGCGCGCGCTCGAGCTCATGCGCGCCAACGTGCGCCGCGAGGGCGTCATTCGCAACATGGTGGGCTGCCGCCGCCAGTCTTCCTTCGCCCAGCCCGTCCGGCCCCGCCCCGCCCCGCCGGCTGCGCTGCGTATGCATGTGCGTGTGCGTATGCATATGTGTATTGATGCGTATGCGTATGCGTATGCGTCCCGTGCGCCCCACATGTATCAAATAGCCTGCTGTGTTTGATCGGCCATTGGGGGCGCGGCGGTCAGCGCGCCCCTCCGAGCCTGAGGCTGAGGCTGACGCAGTCCCTCCCTTTGCCCCGCGCGCACCGCGCGCGTGCGTGCGCGTGCGTGGCTCGCCTGGACGCTCACAGGTGGGGTTCTACAACATGAATGTGTTCAGCAGTTACCAGTTGGCCAAGGTGGGGTTTTTTTGGGGGGGGGTGTTGGGAGCTTGTGTGGGGGGGGATGTGGAAGGGCGCGTCCGTTGGTGATCGGTCGGAGTGCGCGGGCGCGACGCCGGTTGAGGGGTATGTGTGCATGCGACTGGGACGGCGGGGTGGCTAGGGTCAAGGGGTCCAACCCTGGGAGTGCGCATACCCCAGGTTGCGCGTTCCATGTCGCTGGATGGGGTGGGTCTTTGGGGTTGAGAAGGCACTGGTCGGCGGCGGGCGAGGTCAGGGTGGCTTGACGGCGGCCGCAGCTGGAGGAGCGGGCCGCGCCCGCGCACGCGACCCCTCCCAGAGGTCCGGCGCCCGCGCCCGGCGAAAGCAGGCCCCCACCGGCGGCGCAAAAAGCAAAGCAC